CTCTTAAAAGCCCCTGTTGTATGGGTCTGTACAGCTTTGCATTGTTATACTTCAGGATTCAAGTGTCATAAGTAACTTTTCACACATAGAAAATGTCATGTTACAATCTCGAGCAATGTCTGTTTTTAGCAAATTGCTGATCTTTTTGTCTTTCTTTCATATATAAAACACACACACACACACACAAACCTGCCTGCACAAAACTAGCCTGGATTCATTCTATCACTCTCTTCCTGTCAAACAACTGCGAATGTGTAAAGTATTGTGCATTCTGAGGCTACAATTGGCTCTGTGCTACTTTCTCGGGCATCACAGGTCTATTAGATTTAACAGAGGAACATAGCTTTACTTACAAGAAATAAAGGTGTTTGCAAAATAATGTAGGAAGCCAAATTTTAAATGCCAAAAAAGTTAGTTTAAAATGAATTAACTAAGTCATTCAAAATTTGAGTGCTACATTTGTTCAATCGTGAATCAGTAGTAAGTGGAAATGTAGTAGATTTCCACAGCAAGCATATTAGTGTCTACACCATAGTTCTAAATGCAACAATACTTGGGCATGTTGAGGGGCACTGAAGCCAGGCAACAGAGTTTGGAACTGATGAATAGTAGGAGGAGTAAAAGATTTTACTATTAGTGCCAACTACCACTCCCCCCGCCTCCTCCTCCTAACAGTATGCTTTTATTATGGTGAGATGTTAGTCAAAGGATGAATATTTAGTTAAACTGGAAAATAAGTTCTGGAGAATAAGTTCAAGGGACCTATTGTACATCATGGCGACTGCAGTTAATAACAATATATTATATATTTGAAAATTGCTGAGAGTAGGTTTTCACAACACACAAAAAAGGTATGTAAGGTAAACCCCCATGTTACCTTAAACAGCTTGACTTAGCCATTCTACAATGTATGCATGTATCAAAACATCATGTTGTACAATATAAATATATACAAAAACCAAATAAATACATACAACAGCAAAGATGCATTAATGGTCATTGACTTATAAATTCAGCTTATATTATTGTATTTGTTTCTGACACAGTTCATGTGGTAGGTACTATTATGCCTGTTTCATAGTGGATAAAATTGAAGAAATGTAGAAACAGATATCATATGTGCAAGTTCATGATTCATCAACTTAGGTCGGCCTAATTTCCAGTCTGTACCTATCAGCAACTCATGCTGTTTTGGCATCACCCTTGGGGGGCACGGGGCTAAGTCAAAAGAGAATCAAGAACCATATTTTGATAATATTTAAAATGTATTGAGTAAGAGAAACTAAGTCAATTTCAAATAAGACATTTGGATATGCTGTTGTTTTTTCTTTGCAAGATACCTTTGGTTTCCTAAGGCAGTGACAAGACTTTTGAACATTGTCATTCTGTTTTTGGATAAGATTTTTTATGTTAGTAGAAAATCTTGGGAAAAGCGAAACAGGGAATACTGGCATTTTTCAGTGGTGTCGCCTTTGCTTGCATTCCCATTTTGTCAGCCTTTGAGGAGCCGTATTCGCTATTAAGTTTGTCTTCAACATCCATTCTCTAGCACAGCACATAAAACAGCCCCCTCATCTAACTCCACATGAATCTAATGTAATTTTAACCTAAAAACAGAAAAATGAATTAGGAAATACATTTGTCTTTAATATAATATAGAGTTCAGTGAATTCTGTGAGGCATTTAACCAAAATAACTTGTGCTTTCCTTAGATTTTGCAACCCATTTTTAAAGATAATTTATGTAAAATTATTTTACTCTATACAAGAGATATTTTGGAGGGTTTTTTTTTTTTGGAGGCTGCATTGCTTAGATACAGTTTGGCATTTAAAATCATAAAGACTTGGGTTTAAATCTCAACCCTGCTACGTGATCTTCAGTACATCTTTGAACTTCTTCGAGTCGCAGTTACTTCATCTGTAAATTTTGAAGATTGAGAACACATATCTACAATAACTTTTGAGGGGAATAGAAATCATTCTTCGACAATTATTGCAGTTGCATGTAGCTACTCAGTGAGTGGTGAATGTTGAGTATTTTGCAGCTTTAAAATTATTGTTTTCAGCAAATTATTATAGCATACTACGTATTAGCTAACACTATTATAAGAAACTAAAATCATTTAGAACCTTTCTAACTTTTGTCTTATTTTTGTTTTTTTTCCTCTCCATCTGCGTAAGGATCTGAGAAATCATGATCTTGAGCTTCATGCGGAGAATATTTTCTTCTATCAGGGATTCTTGTTCTTTGCATTTCTTTTCAGAAACACCTCAAGGTTTCCGTCCTTCTAATACATCTGGAAGAAGCACACTTCCCTAGAGATAGGGCTTTATTTAAAACATCTCTTCATTCAAGGAGAGAATGTCATTTGCTGGCATTTCCCCCAACTTATCTTTGTGCCTATTCTTACATCTGGAGTGTGTCATGACAGTCACTATAGTGATGTCCTCCAAGATCCTTGACACTATGTAGGCTTCTTCCCCATTGAGTCCTGGGATGAGAACTGGCGATGTTGACTTAGATCCTTCAGGCGGAACTACAATGACTTGTCACTTTCCATGTTCTGAAATCCTACAATGCAAAAACCCCATGACACTTTATGCTCCTCTTCCCTTGTCTTCTGCCTCTTCCTCTAAATATTTCTGATCTTTAACTCTACCTCTTGCTAACTACCAATCTGTAGCTAATGTATATTCTGAATTGTATCTGGATACACTGAGTTCTGGTGCCACCAGTAAAAACCATCTAGCCCATTAAAGCTTTTTGTGAGATGCTTTATGTGGGATACAGTCTTTTAATGCTCGTGATAACAAACAAACATATGTGATCCTTTCACGAATAAGTAACAAATAATATCAGCGCTGTATGAGATATTTGAATATTTGGAAGACAGAAGGTTTCTCATACATCTCAGAGTTCTTTTATATTTGAAGAAGTGACAGTTCACTTTATTATTGGATTTTCATTATCATATTTGGGAAAGTTCTCACAAAATCTCAGACCTGAAGTTGTAGATAGAATTATAGTGCACAGGCCCGGCGCGGTGGCTCACGCCTGTAATCCCAGCCCTTTGGGAGGCCGAGGCGGGTGGATCACGAGGTCAGGAGATCAAGACCATCCTGGCTAACACAGTGAAACCCTGTCTCTACTATAAATACAAAAAATTAGCCGGGCGTGGTGGCGGGCACCTGTAGTCCCAGCTACTCGGGAGGCTGAGGCAGGAGAACGGCGTGAACCCGGGAGGTGGAGCTTGCAGTGAGCCGAGTTCACGCCACTGCACTCCAGTCTGGGAGACGTAGCGAGACTCGGTCTCAAAAAAAAAAAAAAAAAAAAAAAAATTATAGTGCACAAAGATGTCTGTGTTTTAATCCTCAGAACCCAAGAATACATTAGGCGATGTGTCAAAGAGGAAGTAAAGTTGCAAAAGTAATTAATATTGCTTATCAGCTGTATTTGAAATAAGAAGACAATCCTGTATTATCAGGATGAACCCAGTGTAATCAAAAGGGTTCTTAAAAGTGAAAGAAGGAGATAGAAGAGAATTATAGGTTGAAGTGAGTATGGAAGAAAGACACAGAGAAATGTAACATTGCTTGCCTTGAAATAGAGAAGGAGTCTACAGAAGCCCTGGGATGTGGGTGGTTTCTAGAAGCCGGAAAAGGCGAGGAAATGTAATATTCCTCCAGAGCCTCTAGAATTAACGCAGCCTTGCTGATACTTGATTTTCAACTCAATGAGATCTACGGCAGACTTCAAACGCACAGAACTGCAAGATCACACACTTGTGTTTTAAGCTGTTTAAAGTCATTTAAGTTTGTGGCAATTTGTCACAGCAGCCACATAACATTAATGCACGATTTCATTCTTTATGTAAAAAAGACAGAGATGATGACTTGGCTAAGTTTACATGGGTGTTGATGGAGGAGAGTAAAATTAGAGCAAAACTTAGAAAAGGCATTATTAAGAGAGGTTAATTTCTCATTTTCTTCCATATCCTTATCATGTCTCTTAATGCTGCCAACATAATGCATGCTTACAAATCGATGGAGTCTCTTTGACCATTTATGAATCAAAATAAAATTATAATCTACACTGGTAGATGAGAGAGTCCCTACCACCTTTCAGAAAACAAACAAATTATCTTAATAAATAACCATTTGAACCATCTCGGTATGTTACAACTGTTACACCTTAGGAAAAAAATGGCTCATTATGCATTGCAGTTTTATATAATTGCATCATAGAAGTTTGTTCAAATTACTCTTTTAACAAAAGAAATAGAATACTGAGTAATCTTACCACAAATCTTGAAGAAAATGAGACATTTGATCTTGCTGTGAATTCCAAATTACTGCACGTTCATCTTTTATAAAGTCTCAAAGATACTTTACGAAGTTGAATGCTGTCATAAAAAACCCATGCACACCAATCAGTTCCACGGACAGAACCAAGCAGGTGAAAATCTTGAATAGAAGGTCAGTCTACACAGGTGGCTTAAAATAATTTACACGATAAATCTTTGGAAGGACAATGTTGACTTCTGATGTCTCTACCTCTTTATTCTTTTTTCTCTTGCTACATTTTTGAGTGAAGTGTGGTAATGAACATCGTAGGGTGCTTGCACTAATCACCAGCATCCAAAGATAAATGATGATGGGGATAGTGATATAAATTTTATAAAACACCTAAAGTACAGAACAGATTTATTGTCTTTGTTACAGTTCATAAAATACATGAATGAAAATTTGGAAGTTTGGAATATTCTTTATCTCAAAGCAGAGATGGCCCTGACAGTTTTCTATGAAATGTGGCTGACATATTGATGCTTGCGTTGGGAGCGGAGCTGGGGAAAGGAGATAAAGAGAGATAAGGGAGGGTTTTGTTTACTCAAAGAATAACGAGGGAATTTCTGTAATTTTAGATATTACTCAAAGAGGACCCAGCATAATTTGAGAAAAAAAAAAGAAGTAAAGGACTTCTGATTGTCTTTTACATTGCAGAGAATCTTGGTTTGGATTCTGAAGTTGCTAAAGCAAACGCCTTGGGTTTTGCTGGATGCATGTCTTCCGTCCAGTACAACCACATAGCACCACTGAAAGCTGCCCTGCGCCATGCCACCGCCGCGCCTGTGACTGTCCATGGGACCTTGACGGAATCCAGCTGCGACTTCATGGTGGACTCAGATGTGGATGCAGTGACCACGGTGCATTCTTCATCAGGTATACTCAAGAGCACGCACAAGAGAGCTTCTGTCATTGGCACTACTTTTGGTGTCTTCAAGAAGCTTCCAGATGAAAGGGTTGGCTAATGCGACTCAATTTTTACCTCGTGTAATTACAGGTGGTTAAAAGTTATGACTGATATTTCATGGGGGATTTTTATATATAATTGATGTTTTATTTTTAATATGATGAGTAATTAGAACTAAATGCATAGTTGTGTACTTTGCTTATTATGCATGTATATAATGCATTGTGTGTGTGTGTGTGTGTGTGTGTTTGTATACATAGTCACTACTGTTGAACTGGATACTGCTCTGAGAATTGAGGTATTTAGAGAATGGGAGGCAGCAAGCTGGTTCTCCAACTAATATGATAATTCATGTGATTAAAATAAACCTTTTTTTAGCTTTACTAAGAAATAATTGACAAATACAAATTATATATTTTCAAAGTGTAAAATGTGATAATCTGATAAACATATGCATTGTGTAATTACTATCACAATTAAATTAATCACACTTATCACTGCACATAGTTACCCTTTGTGTGTGTGTGTGTGTATGTGTATGCACATCTGATGAGGACACTTAAGGTTTACTATTTTAGCAAACGTCAAGGAAACAACACAGTATGAATAACTGCGGTCATCATGCTGTACATTAGTTCACCAAAATTTGGGCCTAGTGTGGTGGCTCATGCCTGTAATTGCAGCACTTTGGGAGGCTAAGGCGGGTGGATCACCTGAGGTCAGGAGTTCGAGACCAGTCTGGCCAACGTGGCGAAACCCCATCTTTACTAAAAATACAAAAATTAGCTGGCCATGGTGGCGGACACCTGTAATTCCAGCTACTTGGGAGGCTGAGGAATGAGAATCGCTTGAACCCAGGAGGCGGAGGTTGCAATGCCCCAAGATCGTGCAACTGCACTCCAGCCTGGGGGATAGAGCGAAACTCTGTTTCAAAAAAGAAAAAAAAAATCCCCCAAATTTATCATCTTCTGACTGAAAGCTTGTACTCTTTAACCAACAACTCTCCATTTCCTCCACACGCCAGCCCCTGCCAACCACCGTTCTGTTTCTATGAGTTTGACTTTTGTAGATTCCACATATAAGTTATATCACATAGTATTTGTCTTTCTGTGTCTTGTTTATTTCAAATTGGCATAACGTCCTCTAGGTTATTCTGTATCGTCACAAATGGCATGATCTTTTTTAATGCTGAATAATTTCCAATTGCGTGTGTATATGCCACAATATCTTTAATCATTTAAGCGTTAACAGACAGGTTGTTTCCATATCTTGGCTATTGTGAATAATACTGCAGTAAACACTAGTGCAGAAAGCTGCAGTCATCACACTCTCTGATTTCAAACTATATTGCAAAGCTATAGTAATCAAAAAAGCATAATACTGGCATAAAACAAACACATAGACCAATAGAACAGAATAAAAAAGCCAGAAATAAACCCAGGCTTATTTAATCAACTAATCTTTGGCAAGATTTCCAAAAATACATAATATGGAAAATGTTGCTTACTCAATAAATTGTTCTGGGAAAATTGAATATCCACATGCAAAAGAATAGAATTGGACCTTTATCTTGCACCATATAAAAATTAACTTGAAATGGATTAAAACCTTAAATATAAGACCTGAGACTGTAAACTCCAGGAAAGGAACATAAGGAAAAATCTCCTTAACATTGATCTTGAAAATATATATGTAATTTTTACATGGCACCAAAAGTAGGATCAACAAGAGCAAAAATAAAAAAGTGGGACTGCATAAAAGTAAAGAACTTCTGTATAGCAAAGGACACAATACACAAAATGAAAAGGCAATCTACAGAATTGGAAAAAAAAAGTTTTTAAACTATATGACTGATGAAGGGTTAGTAGCCAAAGCATAAAAAGAATTAATGTAACTCAATAGCAAGAAAAGAAAGAAAAGAAAAAAGAAAAACATTTATTGTGGCACTATTCACAATAGCAAAGACTTGGAATCAACCCAAATGTCCATCAGTGACAGACTGGATTAAGAAAATGTGGCACATATACACCATGGAATACTAGGCAGTCATAAAAAAGGATGAGTTTGTGTCCTTTGTAGGGACATGGATGCAGCTGGAAACCATCATTCTTAGCAAACTATTGCAGGAATAGAAAACCAAACACCGCATGTTCTCACTCATAGGTGGGAACTGAACAATGAGATCACTTGGACTCAGGAAGGGGAACATCACACACCGGGGCCTATCATGGGGAGGGGGGAGGGATTGCACTGGGAGTTATACCTGATGTAAATGACGAGTTGATGGGTGCTGACGAGTTGATGGGTGCAGCACACCAACATGGCACAAGTATACATATGTAACAAACCTGCACATTATGCACATGTACCCTAGAACTTAAAGTATAATAATAATAAAAAATAAATTAAAAAAAATAGGCAAAGGATGTGAATAGGCTTTTTTATTTTTTTCCACAAAAGACATACAAACGTCCAACAGGTACCTGAAAAGGTGCTTAACATCACTGATCATCAGGGAAATGCAAATCAAAACCACAATGAGATGTCACTTCACAGCTGATAATGTGATGGCTAGTATCAAAAAGACAAGAACAACATATGTCGGAGAGGAAGTGCAGAAAACGGAACACTTGTACACTACTGGTGGGAATGCAACTTGGTACAGCCATTATGGAAAAGAGTAGAGAGGTTCCTCAAAATATTAAAACTCGAATCCTGTTTCTGAATATGTAACCAAAATAAATTAAATCAGCCTTTTTTAAAAGTAGAAAAAACCCACAGCACCATCATCCATGCATCTAGGCTTCACCATTCTCTAAGTGCCTTTTTTATCTTTTCTTAGTCACTGCCATTTTGGGTGTCTGAAAATGTATCTGGGATTTTGTTTTAATCAGGTATGATAAGGTGACAGGCATGAGATGACAGCCTTTGAAAGCAAAGTTTGTTTCTTACAGTTCACAAGAAAGGAGATACATTATACCATGCAGAGCCACGTGGAGGAGTGCTAGGGTTGGTCAGGAGGCAGAAAGAGAAAGGGGAAAGTGTGGTGGGGTGGCTGTGTTGCAGCTTCCACGGGAAGGAATGGTGTGAACCAGGTAGGCAAGCTTGAGCCAGTTAGAATTGGATAGTTTGAATAATTTGGGCAGTATCTGTGCTACAAGGGTGGTCTCTAGTTATTTAATACTTGGCCTTGAGTTATTTAAGGCAAGAGAAATACTAGGTTGGTGAGTGTGAGTTAAATAAATGAGTTAGTGGGGGAAGATGGGCTCTGGATTGATTGGTTTGTGTATAAAATGCATGCTTGCAGGCATGTTGTTTGCTATCTCTAGGAATTAGCTAGCACTGGGAGGGGCAGTGTCTCCCTGGCCAGCAAGGTCCTCAAGATGTCAAAGCATCATAAATACTGATAAAACAAAATGACTAATACACTGGGATAAAACCAAGACATCCACATGTATCAACATGTCAATATTGATAGATAGAAACAGTAATAAGGTTGTCATTCTGATTATGCTTTAAAGTGGTTTGTCCCGGGAGGCGGAGCTTGCAGTGAGCCGAGATTGCGCCACTGCACTCAGCCTGGGCGACAGAGCGAGACTCCGTCTCAAAAATAAATAAATAAATAAAAATAAAGTGGTTGGTATGGGAGTGAGGAGGTATTGTCAGGTTTTTCCAGGATGCTTTTTCTAAATCCACAGGATATACATTTTGTTCAGAATTTGCTGCCAATATTGATATACAGTATGGGTTTTGCAAGTAGTGGTGATGAAGAGGCTAGGTCTGAGATATTTGATACAGCTCCCAGATTACCATGGTATTGTTTTACCCTCCCCTTGCCTCCCAGCATACACTAAGAACAATAGTGGTAGGCATCAAAGGGTTCTGGGCCATGGTAATTTTCTATTACAGGCACAATTCCCCTGGCCATGGTCTATGATAGGTCATGATGTGTTAGTAGGAAGATAAAAGGTGGGACATCTTATTGCAGTAAACAAGTCAGGGGGATTTTCGTATCTTGGGAAATATATTGAGAAACATGCACTCTCTTATATGGCAGGACTCTTAGCCAAGACCTTTAGCCTGAGATCCATAGTGCCCAGTCCAATATTTTGTAAAAATTGAGAAATAAATTTTTTAACCAAGTTGGTAATCTGAATAGGATATTTAAATATTTCTATCTACTCTTCCAGCAATGTATTGCCCACTCCTTTACTGCTTTAGCTTTCACCATTTTATTCTTCAAATGCTATTTTGAGTTGTCTTTGGTGAGATTGTTGTGACTCTCCTGTTGCCTCATTCATCACACATCTTTCAAGCAGCTACTCAGTGTTAACTTCCATAGTTAGTGGAGATAACAAAAACTAAGAAACATTTAAAGTCCCTACTTTTAGAAATCTGTAAAGATGATGGAAGGCGATGGTTCAGGGAATTAGGGTGTAGCATTAGATGCTGGGCACAATATCATAATACAGTGTGAGCAATGCTAAGGGAAAGATATGAACAGAGTTTTTGGGTTGTATGGAACCTAGAAAAAGCAGCAAATATATTTTTAGATGAACTAATGATAGATTTATAAATAATATGATCATGCCAATTGCTTAGGGAGAAGGGTTTGCAATGTTCAGAAGACAGAAGACCATTACAAAAGGAAATATGTAAGTTAAAGTGCAAATTTCTGGTAGAGTGTAGCAAATTTAGTAATCAGTGAACACCCCTCACAGGTAAATCATTAGGTGCAAGTGTAGAAGTCCAACATATTTCAATAATGAGGAGTTCTTACCGAATGTTGGCTCTCTCTCTCTCTCTATCTCTCTATATATATAGATATTCCACAGAGATAGATATAAATAGTTGCTCAATGTCTATCTATATAATTATAGTACACAATAAATTCTATTCTATAAGAATAGATATATAGATATAGACTATATATAATATATAGATCTTGATCTATATATATGATATAAATAGATACATTTAAGCTGTGTCATTTTTTTTTTTGAGAAGGGAATTAAAACTAAAAGATAGCTCTAAAATTGTAAAAGACAATTTAGACACACTGTGAAGAGAGAAGTACTATTGAAATAAATGAATAACTACCCCAAGGGTTACTTTGTAGAAGGTGTCCATTAAACATGGATATAGGCATGGTATTTTTAATTTTCGTAGTCGTGTTACTGAAGCTGTCATCATACTAGATATGAAGTATTTTATTTGTAGCTTTAATAAATATTAGAGAGTTACAATTAACAAACTGGGTTAACATATATTAATGTATCATTAGCAAAATTTGCTAGAAATGGGGAAATCTGTTGTAAAATCAATGTTAAGTAGTAACCAAGGTTATTACTTTGGTTAATGATCTTAAAAGTAGTACATAGACTCAATAAGGGAGAAACCATTGTAAGTTGGAGTAAGGGAAAAAGGCCATGAGGCTGGGCACGGTGGCTCATGCCTATAATCCCGGCACTTTGGGAGGCCAAGGTGGGCAGATCACAAGGTCAGGAGTTCCTGACCAGCCTGACCAGCATGGTGAAACCCCGTCTCTACTAAAAACAGAAAAATTAGCTGCGCATGGTGGTGTATGCTTGTAATCCCAGCTACTTAGGAGGCTGAGGCAGGAGAGTTGCTTGAACCGGGGAGACAGAGGTTGCAGTGAGCTGAGATCGCGCCACTGCACTCCAGCCTAAGTGACAGAGCAAGACTCAGTCAAAAAGAAAGAAAGAAAGAAAGAAAGAAAGAAAGAGAGAGAGAGAGAGAGAGAGAGAGAGAGAGAAAGAAAGAAAGAAAGAAAGAAAGAAAGAAAGAAAGAAAGAAAGAAAGAAAGAAAGAAAGAAAGAAAGAAAGAAAGAAAGAAAGAAGGAAAGAAAGAAAAGAAGGAGAGGAGAGGAGAGGAAAGGAGAGGAGAGGAAACGAGAGGGGAAAGGCAAGGGGAAAGGCAAGGCAAGGCAGGGCAGGGCAGGGCAGGGCAGGGCAGGGCAAGGCAAGGCAAGGCAGAAAAATAAACCATAATGGATGATCCAGATTTGAATACAGTCATGTACCATGTGAAGATAATGGTCTGCATAGACTGTAGTCCTCTAAGATTATAATGGAGCTGAATAATTTCTATGACCTAATGAAGTTGTAGCAACCATAAGGTCCTAGTACAACACCTTATCCACATGTATTTTGGTGACTCTGATATAAACTTACTCCTCAATAAAAGCCCCAAGCATTTTCTTTAGGAAAAAACTCAGAAGAAGGCATTGTTATGGTAGAAGATGGTACCTCCTGCATGTGGTTGACCCTGAAGACCTTCCAGTGGGACAACATGAGGAGGTGGAAGACAGTGATGTTAATGTCGTGAATTCATGTAAGCTTAATCTACTGTGTATGTTTGTGTCTTCATTTTCAGGAAAAAAAAAAGTTTAAAAAGTAAAAAATAATAATAAATAAATTTAAAAACAGAAAAAGTCTTATAGCAAAAGGATATAAAGAAAGAAAATAGTTTTGTATAGTTGTATGTATTTGTGTTTTAAGTGTTATGACAAAGAAGTCAAAAGTTAAAAAAATAAAAAGTTTACAAAGCAAAAAAGTTATAGTAAGCTAAAGATACTTTATTATTGAAGAAAGAAAAAAGTTAATAAATGTAGTGTAGCCTAAGTGTATAGTGCTTATAAAGGCTTTATTAGTGTAGAGTAATGTCCTAGACCTTCACCACTCACTCACTGACTCGCCCAGAGCAACTTCCAGTCCTGTAGGCTCCATTCATGATAAGTGTCCTATGCAGGTGTAGCATGTATTTAAATCTCGTATTTTTAATCTGCCCTTTCTATGTTTAGATATGCTTAGGTACACATGTACTTACAAATGTGTTATAGTTGCTTGCAGTATTCAGTACAGCAGCATGCTATACAGGTTTGTAACCTGGGGCAATAGTCTATGCTACACATACAGTCTAGGTGTGTCATAGGCTGTACCATCTAGGTTTGTGTGAGCGCACTCTATGATTTCCACACGATGACAAAACTGCCTAATGACACATTTTTCAGAATATATTCCCACCATTAAGCTACACATGACTGTATTTATAAAGAAGCAGGAGGCATTTTAGGTAGGCGGACTAGCCCAGGGATATACAAGAATAACAAGCACAGTGGACAGTGTGATACAGGAGATCTAATAACTAAATATTTTGAATTTCCTCTCTCCCTTTCTCCCTCCCTCCCATTCTTTCTTCTTTCTTTCCCCCCTGTCTTCTACCTGTCTTTTACCATACCTCTTCCCCTCTCTCTCTCTCCCCGTTTCATTGCTTCCTCTGATTTCACATTTTCCACTTTCTCTTTGCCTGCCTGCTCTCTCTCTGTCTCTAACACCCACTATCATCATCGTCACCCCATTGTTATAATTGGCGACATATATATATATATATATGTATATATGTATACACACACACACGTCTATGTTCTTCTCCATGTATATATGCATGTAAGTAGGCCATTCAGGTGTACACAGACGATTAATAATAATGTCAAGTTCCAACCCCAAGTTTTTTCCACCAGACCCACCTTATCAATGTCACCAGTTCAGAATATCTGCCCCATGGCCAGCACCTTCTTTAATTACAATACCATTCCCATTTGACCCCATCAGCCTCTCTCTCATGTTGATTTGTTTCTGCTCCAATTTCGAGAGTCCTAGGAAAAGGCCACCCCTGTACACCACAGACAGCATAAACCACCACTCTCTGTTCACTCGAAGACACAGTAAATTCTTACCAAACATCTTGCATGTGTGTCTGTACATGGTCGTGTGGCAAGTGCTGTGGTATGAAGAAGTGCGTGTCCTGGTTTTTTCATTAGGAAGCTTGATGTCCCGCTCGTAAGACTAGGATATGCATGTTTATACACATGTAAATGTGTATGTAATTAATAGTAAGCAACATTATAATAAGAAACAAGATTTAGTGAGCACTTGCATTGTCTCAGGCACTGTTCTAAAAACATATATATTAACTTGTATAATTCTTACAAAACCTTTTAAGGCAATTAAAGTATTATTTTTACCATTGGACAGATAAGAAAGTTTAAATGACACATGACAGGACTAATGATGTCACACGGGGGCTTGAATTCTGTTGCTGCCTGCACATCACCAATCTTGGAGTTTTTCCAGCAGCAGAGAGGAGTAATAGAAAGACTCTGAGTGCAGTAATTGTATACGTTTGGTGTGAATTTTGCCTCTTCCATGAATGATCTGTAGGACTTTTGACATGTTATTTGATTGTTTCAATCTAGTTTCCTTATTAGCCAAAGGGGAACAATAAGACTCATGTTCTAGTCATTTTCCAATGATAAATGATACAACAATAATAAACAATATTGTAATATATATTATTATAAATAATAAATGATACAACAATAATCATAATAGTGACTACTTATGAGTGTGTAGTAGCCACAAGTTCCTGAAAATTTAACATGCATTATATACACACATATAGGCATTACTACTCTCCTTTAATACATGTGCAAATTCATATTTAAAAAGAGGTCTTGCTCTATGTCACCAGACCAACAAACAACAGAGCAAAGATTCAGATTAAGGTCTGTGTATCCTTAAACCTGATGCTTTTTCTTATATCATATATGGTACTGCACCTGTAGTACAATTCCTCCCTCATCAGTGAGGGCTGTTCCTGAAGGTGTTAATTCTCCAGCACTTTTGTTCTTCACTGTCAATAAACTCAGGATCCTCTTGCACCTGAAGAAGACTCTCAAGCAGAGCAAGGTGGCATGCATAGGAACTGTCCAGCGAGGCAACAGGGCACCTTAGGGGCAGGGTGAGGGCATGTGGGCAGGATACCACCATCCTCTGTTTCAACCCCTTGTCTTACAACTAGCGTATAAACAAAAAGGGTCATTGAACCATGGGGTGTGAGCAGTGCATTTCAAATGCTTTTTCCTTGTGCATGTTTTTTGAGTTCCTTGCAACATGTCAACTCACAACTCTTTGAGGGCACCTGGTGTAATGCACAGGTGTGTCGTTCCAGGTGGGCCACACTGTAGACTTCCTGCCAGTGCTTTGAGTGAGAAGTAAAGTCCCATGTCTTCCCTTTCAGATCCTTTTGGGAAGACAGATGAGCGGGAACCACTCACGAATGCTGTTCGAAGTGATTCGGCAGTCATCGGAGGTAAACAATTCATTGTTGTTGAATGCAGAAAGACATAAACGATCCTGTATTTTGGAGAAAGTTATCTGAAGCCTTCCTTAATTATGGCCATCCAGTGCTCACAGCCCCCCACATTATCTGCAAGACTGTGAGCTTTTCATGAGTAGTCATGTGTGCTGAATGATCAAAGGCAGGCTCTGCCGACACCAGCAGCTCTGCGGCTTCATCCTGCCTCTGATTCACGAGGCAGCTGAGCACCAAGTCAACAGCTGGAGCATTTACTTACAGACAGCAGCTCACATTCTGTTCATTTCATACAGTTGTCACTGTTCCTAAAATGCAAACAAAGCAGACCAACAAAGCTAAATACAGGGAAGAAGCCACGTTGGGGCAGACAATGGGTGAAGCCACAGTCCTGCGGAGTGTTCCCCACCAAGTGATTTGGGTTAAGTCTAATGAGCAGGGTAAAGCCCACAGGACTGTAGTTTCAAATCTCACTGCACATATGGTTACAGATGCAGACCTTGTCTCCTCTGCTGCGAGCTCAGCTTTCCTGCTTTTCCATTTTCTCACTGCCTGTTGGCCTCCCCACTTTTTTATTCTGCTTCAGCTTGGCTTCTGCCTGCTGTGGCTTGATTTTTCCATCTGGGTCTTGCAACACAGAATGATTTCCAAGCTTCGCTTAATGTAAGATGCGTGTGAAAGACCAAACTCGTTTCTATCTGAGAAACATAACCTTAGCAGGTGCCACCATCCCTGCCTTCTGGAAGCCTAGATGAACTGATCCTTGGCAGATGGAGTTTTCCTTTTAAAAACCTGCAGTATCGTTCCATTTAGTTTATATTTAATGAGCCCTGCTGCGGGTCAGGCTCTGTGCTAAGTAGAGGATGAATGAGCCAGGGAGGAGATGGGTAAACAGAAAACAAGACAACCAGTGAAGGCTGTTCTGAGGGAGGAGGTACAAATGGCTATGGGAGCACAGAGGTGCACTCCTGATAACATGAAGAAAGGAAAACCACGCCTTTCCTTAAGGAAGTTCCTAAAACCTCTGACCTGAATTTCTGCTTCAGAGAAGCTGGTCCACCTTAATTTTTGTTTGGCATCGAGAAATGTGGGAAAGAATTTTGTGCCTATATCTCTTTCAGTAATTTCCCATTTGACAAGTGCAGAAAAAGACTTTTGTGACTGCTGATTCCTCTCCAGCTATTTACATGCTCTGTGAGTCTCTTTAAGGACAGGAAAGTCATCTGACGCCCTAGGAAAATTCCTGGAGGCTTGCACAGCTGCTGACTTGGACTATCCCAAGCATTGAAGGAGTAGGAACCAGTTTCCTATTTCATTTCTTAAGGCTGCAACCCACTCAGGAGAGTCACTCACTACCACCCAGTTTATTCATAGACTTGCTAACTTAAGTGATTTTACTCTTACTTGTTCTAACATAGTTGTAGAAAATGCCACAAAATGGTTTAGGAACATATATTTATAAAAATAAATCTTAATCATGGCCCCAGTTCTACAAAAAATTGGCGGAAGACGTGCAATCCACATATGAAACTTTCAAATGTCCATGCTTCTGTAAATCATAATGCACTGTGCCCAAAAATAACTTTCTAAAATAGACACTTTTCCTCAATATCTCCTCTCCTTAGAAAAATAAAACAGCAAAATATAGAACTTATTACAAGTCAAGTCTTTGCTTATCATACATATTGTTAAATATTTTCATGCTGAAATACTACATTCATGTAGAGACACATCTGCCACTTCCACATTTTCACTGTCCCTTGGCGGATACTGCCTTTCATGTTCCAAGAGCCTTCCTGGCAAAGGTAAGGGTGAGACCTTAGGGTAAGCAAGGATAGCTTGCAACATAATCCAGTTGAATCACACACAATCAGAATTAGGGGGAATCTGATGGGCCTGGGCAGAAGTTTGCCGTCTCAATGGACTCTGAGTTTCTCGAGAACAGAGGCGTCTTGTCACTGAATGAGCCTCAGTTTCACAGAGTGCAGAGCATGCAAAAATGTTCTGAATTTATAGTGATCATTTCGTTATTAATGAAAATGTTTGAGCGAAACAAATATATAACATAAAACAAATTTACATCAGGAGGGCATGTGTTGAGAAGTGAGATATTTAAGTACCATTTTCTAGGATGCTAAAGTAACTCTGAAATACTTAGTTGTGAGGTGACCCAAAAAATGGGCTAATTACAAATGATTCTGACACATTTATAGCAGACTTGAAAAACTTACAAAGAAACCCTTTGCTAGTCCAATTCCATATGTAGAAGATGGCATTCTCAGTTCTTTAAACAAAACCTTCTATGGTTGAAAGCGCCTCTCTCCCAGCTAGTTTGAAAGAAAGTTTTATAATAATCGAAGACAGGGCCTTTCAGCAGGTCTTTATTTCTGGGCAGGTGGCAGAGTTGCGTTTGTGTGATTTGTTTTGTTTTGTTTTCTCTCTTTAGCATTCCTCTCATCTGGCAGGAATCCACTCTCCTGAGCAGATGATTTGTGATTATTTCCTTCTCTCTTTCCTTCCCCTTTCTCTCCAGGGGTGATAGCAGTGGTGATATTCATCATCTTCTGTATCATCGGCATCATGACCCGGTTCCTCTACCAGCACAAGCAGTCACATCGTACAAACCAGATGAAGGAGAAGGAATATCCAGAAAATTTGGACAGTTCCTTCAGAAATGATATTGACTTGCAAAACACAGTGAGCGAGTGTAAACGGGAATATTTCATCTGAGAAACTGCAGGGTTCCTACTACTATTTTTTCTTGTTGTTCAATTATCTCCTCCCCTTCTTCTCTCCTGTCTTTTGATTTGGTCATTCTCTTTATTTTCTGCTTGCCATTTCTTTTCTGGAACATATTTGCATCCACCACAGCATCAATTCCCTTGATCCAGTCCAAGAGACCAGGCAGACGTGGCCACTGCCTTCCTCTCTGATGCACCTATCGGGTGAAAACGACCACTCAAGAGACTGACTTCACTATTCAAGACAAGGAAGAGACACATGTGTGCACTCCTGCATGTTCAGTTCTGTACTTCCAGTTTCTAAAATGCACTGTTCAGTTTGGCAGCCGCTTGGTGGTTCGGGCTTGCTTTGAACCTGAGCTCTTTGGCTTAGGCACATGACGGTCATTCCTGACATCCTCCCCATCTCAAGTCTATTCTTACCAGGGAACCCAGGGCAGGGAGAGAAGAACCTAGAGGCCTGGTTTGCTTTGGAGGCATTATAAAAGGGGTAAGAGAGGTTTGTTTTGTGGTGGTTTACTTTCTTTACCATAGGCAATCACTTGCCTTAACTCATCACCCTTTTTCACTATGACCCTTAGACGCTGAGTATTTTCAAATATATGATCACTGATAGTAGTGAGCAAAATTACTTTGCTCCTTTCTTACCACTCTCTCCTGGGGCCGACACGTTGGGATAGCACACCATAGCATAAAGCTAGGGGAGGCATGGTAATAGTAGCTTGAAACTAGGAGGTAACAAGAAAGCGTCTAGGAAGTAGATGTTCCGTATCTTCAAAAATGCCTCCTCCAATTTTGTAAGAATGCTAGCTAGGTATTCCTGGGATTATTCTACTGACATATATGTACACACACATGTGTATATGTGTATATATATGTGAGTATATATATACACATACATGTATATATATGTGAGTATATATATACACATACATGTATATATATGTGAGTATATATATACACATACATGTATATATATGTGAGTATATATATACACATATGTATACACACACACATATATATATAGATATATACACACAAACACACACACATATATGTTGCTGCAGCATAAAGAAATTGAAATAAAAGTTTAAAATAGTACCTGTTTCAATGAAAGAGCCTAAACCATCTTAATTCAGCTTTAAAACAAAAATTAAATCAGGAAAAAATGGAAAAAAAAAACTGCATGAAAGAAGAGAAATACCAAACAGAATTCTGCCCTTCCATTCACTCACTAAAGACCCGGTGAAGACAGTTAATTCAAATTTGCAAGTTTCACATTTTTGAACATCAAGCTATTCTCCGAGAGGTTTAGGATGCATTAACATAAGTGACATGGTCACCTCTAACTAACTAGCTTTGCTTGATTTCAGAGGAGCCCTTAGGTTCTGTAGCTTATCACATTTTCAAGTCTGCTATACCCTATATACATAAAGACTCTTCCAAACATCTCTTTATAGGCTTAAACTCCCAAAAGAGGTGGTGATAAATTTCAGGGTTTTTGCCCCTTTTGGTAACAAAGCATTGAAAACAGTCATTCATTCCTTCAAGAAGGCACCTTGAGCTCATCCATGGGGTGGTGGTAAAGATCTTAATGATTTTTCTGTGGCAATATGCATCGTTCTTTGTCCTGCGCCATCTTGGAGGAAAAGGTAAGGAGAAAACAACATAAATGCTCCAAGATGCTGGAAATGCTCATGTAATGATTCTTAGGTGTGGAAAATACTTGTTGATTCTCTTTACGAGGCAGATTCAGTGTGGAAATCGATGACCACAGCTCTGTTTGCCAGCCTTGACAGTTAGCAGACATTCCATCTTTTGCTTAGGGTACACTGTCTCTCGCCTCTCATAGTGAGGAACTTAGTTGCTTCATTCCATTTCAAGCACAGCTTTTCTTTCAGTTTCAGAGCTTATGAGTTAAGGATTTAGTTTGCAATCATATTCCTCTATTTTAGGATGTTGTTTTAAATGCAGATTCTCTCCTTGAAATTTTCTATGGATTTGAGCTTAATCACTTTATCATCTACATGGTATCTTTTGGCTACATGATATCATTTATTTTAAAGTGATTTTAACCATGATACCATTTCTCTCCTTTTAGTTTTAATAAGATGAATGATTCTTTAGTAAGATGAAGGATCTTTAAACAGTGTTTTCCCCTGCCCTTTCCTCCCTTTCTTCAATTTTCACTTTTGAATTTTTGATTTCCATAAAAAGCCTGTATAAATCAGCCTTTTGCTTGGCTATATATTCCTTTGTCCCCTGAAGTAAAAGTCACCACGAAGTGTAGTGGGTTTAGCCTGAAGCAGCTCCACTAATGAAATAGAAAGGCAAAGGAAGGTGTGAGTAATAAAGCTGGAACTCTTCATTATTCAATCTTCGAGCAGTGAGGACTGTATTTTGCTGACATAGTGCTAACAGAAGAAATGGAGACTAGCAAAGGCTAACTCGGAGTATTTGATTTTCTCATCTAAGTATATATGCTTTTAGATGGTCCTGTAGGATGAAGAATCTGTGAAGCTCTATCCTGACAACAACTGCACTACAGAATCAACTGGCATCTTCCTCACGTGTGTAGACTCCATACACACTGCATGCCACAGGACCTAAATGTAGATGCCAGGACAGTGCCCCCTGCACGCCACTCCTATAAGTAGTCTCAGGGCTAAAGCAGAATTATTTTTACAGGGTTGAATTGTTTCTTAACCCCAGAGAACACTAACTTTTGCTAGATATATATGAAATGCAAGTGAGCCGTACCCTCCAAAGTAGAATGTAATTTACAGTTAGAAATCGTGCTAACTCCGACTGTCTTTCCTCAGTGGTACCAAGATCTATGTAGTTTTATGTAATTGTTCAATTGTGTGAGTGTTTCAATCCTTCAGCAGTTATCATCTCAAAGGAGACTTTGAAAGCATCTTAATCTCTCTTTAACGACTTTTTTTTTTCTTTTTCATGTCACATTCAGGTTTCCCAACTACATGCTCTGGCCAACTGGGCCACCATGGTCTCTTCCACTTAAACCCTCAGCCTTCAATAACTGCTGTTTACAAAAAGATTTTATGGAATATGGATCACTTTACAGTAAAACCAAAAGTACTTGTGAAATTTCATATTTTAATGGGGCTGTTTCATTGATTTTTTTTTCCACCAAACAAATCTATTTATGTAAGCAACAGTATATTTGCTAACTCTAAAATATATTTAACCTACTGCATCATTTATTGCATGTATAGCCTCAGTTGCCATCTTTATGAAAAATTTGTCTGGAGAAATAGACATTTGTCATTTCTATAGACATATTTTTACGAATAGCTTTGCCTCTTCTATTTACCCTCAGCTGTACACAGAAGATTTTAAGGATCCTAGGGGTGATATTTTAAAACAACTTTTTTCTTCTCCTTAGTAATTACAGAGATGGTATTAACTTGACTTCTACCTTCTGTCAGACCCATCCCCACCAATGGGTAGCAAGAACAGGATAGAACAAAATAAAGAGATTGTTTTTCTTTCTTCATTTATGAAGTATTTATGGAATGCCAGTGAGTGCTGTGCTAGGCATTGGATGAACATGTATAAATTACACCTTGTTCTTGTCCTTGAGGAGCTCAAAGTCTAGCAGGCAAGGCATGTATTATTGCAACAGGGGCATGCATAAAGTGTCCTAGAATGCAGCACAAGGTCCTGCACAATTATTTTTGGTAAAGCATCCACTAGAGACTGAAAGAAACAGGTAAATTTCTGGGAAATATTTGTTATTTTTTAAATAATTTTTTAAAAATCCACCTTCCATAAGCTGTTTTGTTTCTCCTCCTCAAAGTAGATATCTATCAATGCATATAAATTTCTGTAGAAAGAGGTGGATTGACTTTTAGGGACAGTAAAAATAGATGGTCTCTGTCTCTGCCATACATTTGGGGAGGCTGAATTCTCTACATTCTTGTTTCAGGTCAGGTTGGGGGATTCCAAAAGTCTCGCCTCCCATGAACCTAAGTGTCTCCACTTTGGCCCCTCTCCTTCCCTTTTCTCAGTTCTTCCACTGCCATGTGTTTATGACCTATTGCATGCCATTGTTCTTCCAGATGTTCCTAAAGGTGGTTTGGTTGTAGTCCAACTCTTCCTAAAACCCTTCTTAGTCCTGATGAGCCATTTTGACTCTACATAAAATTTCTGAACCTAACTGAAGTCTACCCTTCAGTCAATAATTGACTAAAAAATGTTGTCCATTTATGTGAGGTCTCACCTCTGAGCCTGAGTGAATGTTTCCCGTCTTGAAGGTCATACCTGCTCCCTCTCTGCAGGAAGTTAATTCAGTTAGAAGAGTTGCACGGGGAGGGTGCATGCACAGCCAACTTATCCAGTCCAAGATATCCAGGGAGATGGGTATCAGACCTGCTGCATTTTTTCTTAGGAAAGGAAAGGTCTTGACGGATTGTTCACCAACTGCCCTAGCTTCCTTTAAGCTTCCCCATAGCTTCCATCCATCAAAATCTCATTGCAGCAGCAGCCTACCAAAAGGCCTTTGGGACACCTGTATGGTGCTGCCACTCATTCTTCCTTAACGAAAAGGCTTGGACATACTTAGCCCTCAATTGTCCTACAGGTCATGTATTGAGCAAATAAACAAACAGACTTCATTGTTCCTGAAGATGGCAAAGGTGATTAATGGAAGAAGATGCAGGCAAACTGAAAACTTTCAGAAGTCTAGGAGGATAACTGAGTGCTAGTTCGTGTCTCTCATGCAGTTTGAACCTGTTTTCTTTAAAATATACACAATGTAATTAAATTATCTCTATATACTGTTCTTGGGCTATTCTCGACCTCTTCTTTTATCTCCTCTCTCATAGTCTTGTTTGTGGAATCATCTACTTTGCAGATTTTGGTTGTCTCTCATTCTCAGCTCTGCCTTCACAAATTCCAAATAGTTGAACCACCTAAAGGGGAAAAAGTGCAACACACACACGCACGCACACACATGTGCACACTTTGTACGAATAGGGCTGTTATTCAACTTTTCTCTAGAACATTCTACATACATATCTGTTTGGTAGGGAGAGAAGCATTCCTCTTTTATGTTGGCAATTATTTGAATCTTTCACATAAGGTTTTAGTAATTAACCGGTTTGCTATTTTTGAGTGATTATTTTATCTTATTTTGCACTAAGGTACTCTGAGGAAGAACAGAAAAGCACATTTTCTAGTGAAATATTGTACTTTGTAAGCTAGATATCTGTCTTATGTAATGTTTACAGTCTACGAAGTGGCTGAGCAGACATGAACAGAGGTTAATGGAAAAGCTGGTTTGGGTTTCAACCACACCCGCTGGGAACTTGATGAGGAGGAAGAGGGGCCGGTGGCAGTAATTGGTGGCCGTCTGAGGTGAGGAAGTTTATTGCTTCCACCATGAATCATTGGTGGCAGCCTTTCCACTTTCGTGGCTCCTAACTCAAGAGTCTCTTTAGTGCATTTGGATCATTGTCTTACTCATTAGGGAAAGAGGCAATATCATGGGCTTTGCATGAATAATTCTTTACTCACATTTGCATGATATTTTTTTAACTTCCAAAACTTCTTAAGTCACATCTTTTTTTTTTTTTTTCAAGTTTTAATTTTTTTTTCAGGATTTTCTCAGAGTGCTTTAGAACTATTACTATAATTATCTAACCTGCCCAGGTTAAGCACCCAGATACAACTTTCAGGAAACGAAACAACTGTCAGAAAACTGCTGTAGGTCTATTATTCTCAGTCAGAGCCCCTGTGAGTGGAAGTCCTTAGATTCTGGAATCCATCCAGTGTCTTTCTTTTCCTTCCATTCATCCTGACATGAATAAGCATACCAAAACTCTAAGAAGGAATGAGTACTTTCCAGCCCTGACAATGAGTACCGCCAGGGACCTACCATCTAACACCATCTAGGCACACTGTTTTTTTCTCAGTCCTTCCAGTTGACACAAGGAAACCCTTTATAAAATAGGACAAAATTAGGAGATTAGTCCCAAGCCAAGACCAAAGGTGGAGATAGTTGTGTTAGTGATTAAAGCCTGGTCCTATTTGAATGAGTGTCAGAGTCTTACATGCTTCAGATGCCAGAAATATCTTAAGAGAACATGAACAAAGTGCTGGATATGCAACAGGAATAATGCATTCTCCTACAGACTCTTTGAAAGGCTTTCTCTTTCAAGAAAACTTGAAGGGAAAATATTAATGGGCATCAGCCTTGGCATGCTTTCCCATTAGAGTCAGTCTCTATCCCAAACGTTTTACGTGAAATATTCACCTAGTCTATTCTGTTTGAAAGGCAGTATCAACCCGTGTAACCTTGTCCTGCCTTAAATACTGTTGAGAAAAATACCAAACTTTGCTTAAAGCAGCATAGTTATATTGAGAAAGAGACTGCATTTAGTGAGGACCAAGACCAAGAATTTTCTCTTTCTGAATCTGACAGTTGACAGGCCTCCTGATATCCTGTGTTGCCTTGAGCTAACATTTTCCTTAGTCACTAGCCTAGGGCAGAAAGGCAGCCATGTATAAATGAATACCCATGGTCATGTTCCAATATAACTTTATTTACAAAAACTAATTTAGTCCATAGGTTACGGTTTGCTGATTTCTAAGACAGAGCATTACAGTGTGTTTCAGATGTGAAGTAACTCTTCCTACAGCATGTTCAGGCCCTCCTTTTCAGGGAATGAGAAAGAGTGGGGAGGGTATTTCAACGAAAGATAAATTGCAAAATAACCTCCCTGCAAAAATACACATATGTCAGACTCTTTGTTATGGTAAAAGCACAAAACAGGTCATCTTTTTGTGGAAATGCTGGAGTCTACCTTTTCCTTTTTATCTTCTGATTTTTGTTCCTAAAACAAAATCCCAAGTGACGTTGCCTCTTCCAAGTCAGCTTTGTAGACCATGTAACACGTCTTAATACACTGTATGGGGAAAAAATAAAAGTTAGCCTTAGATTTCTTTGTTTTCTATGGTTATTGTTGTACAGAAGAAAGATGAACTGTAAATAATGTATATTTAATAAAGAGAACATTTTGTATGATTTTGTGTGGAAGACACATGTGCCTTGCTGTGTTTTCTTGAGTTAATGAAGAGTCAAACAATTAATCCCTTAGCTCCCATTCTCATTCATTAGACCATTAACTCCCAGACAACATGACCTGTGGGGTTGCTGGAGAAACAAAAGACTCCCACTGGCTGGGTTTATTGATTTCAGCATGGCTAAAAGTGCTGTCCTGGGCTCACTCATCACTGAGCTGAGTTATCCTGGGTAACTCACGCCTGGCTTAAATGTATACAAGAGCAATCTCATTGATTCGGTCAATGTCAGCTTCAGTGTTCTGGAGCCACCCTGGTTTCAGCTACCCACGTGAACCTTCAGACTCTCCTCCACCCTCATCAGCGCCCACTCACAAAAACCGTATTTCTTCCGTCTCCTACCCTACATCTTTTTCTTACAAAGGACCTTAACCCTGTGTGTTTGAGACTAAACAAAGACTGCTGTGAAACAGAACCCACTTCATGTGGTGTTTATTAAGCCTTCTATGTATGAGGTAGTCAGCACACACACACACACACAGAAATTTAAAACTGACAGGGCTTTAAACAGAAGAGAGACAGTACCAGATTTACCCTTAAGAAAAATCTAACTTGGGTTATGGTCCCTTGGAGAAGGGATCATAGCAGGATAGGAGAGGAGGAGGAGATAACAGTTAGTGGCCATTTCAAAAGCCTGAGGGAGGGTGGTGGCGGCTTGCACTAGCACAGTAGTAGCAAAGATTCTAGCAGTAGCTGGTAGACAGAAATGACAGGGCTCGGTGGATTGGAAAGAGAGTGTGTGGGGGAGAAAAGAGTCAAGAAAGCTTGGATTTGGGGCTTATGCAACTGAGTAGATTGGGGCAGAGTTTTTGTTTTATTTTGTTTTGGAAAATGGTGGTTGTAAAATGAGAAGGGTAGACAAGTTTAATTTGGGATTTTGTTAAGTTTGAAGTTTCAACTAGGCAGCAAGCATAGATGGAAGGTCAGTAGCTGGGTACATGTTTGCAGTTCAGCAGTGAGGTCTGGTCCGTAGACACTTAAGAGATGTGTGTATGTGTGTTTGTCTATGTATGAATAGGTATATCCAAACACACGGCCATGTGTGCACAGGTTGGCATCATCTAGGGCAGGAGTATAACTAGGAAATAGATCTAGAAACAATGGATGTTCTAGAAGGATAAGCTACACAAGGGAACCTGCAAATGTGCATTGAAGAATGAGGAAAACCAGGTGAGTCAGTAGGAGCCCTGATTACAAAGTGCTTTATCAGGAGGAAGCAGAGAGTTATTAGATGCTACTGAGAAACCAAGGCAGGTGAGAAGAAATAAAAGCCACAGGCTTAGCAAGATTAAGGCACTGACCCCTTTCTAGAGCCATGTAATGAAGAAGTTGGGAGAAACTATGATCGGAGTCAGCTGAAAAGTTGGCGAAGCGCCGGGAGGCATTGACAAGGCTCAGGGCCTGCGAGCAGGAGAGATGCGTGAACATCAGAGCTTGGAAGACTGGGGCTCAAATAACATAAAACCCGTTTCCTTTAATTTTGTGATTTGAAATAAATTAACCAATGTAACCCTTACGTGTGGCAGATACAAATTGGGAAACAAAATAAAACCAAACCAAAAAAAACTTCACAGATCCTGAGGATTGAATGAGGTCATGCACACACACTAACCACGAAGCAGACCACATGGTCAGGGGCTCTCTGCGATGCTGTGTGTCATTACTTTTTTTTTTTTTTAATCATATTCTAATCTACAGGAAGTAAACACATATCACACAGAATCAAACAAAGTGAGGCATAGAAAAGGCAATCATGCTTAGTTTGGCATGAAGGGGTCAATCGTGATTTGTAAGCAAATCGGGCTAGAAATAAGTCTAGTTCTGGCTCTGCCATAAATTAGGTCTGTGACCTTTAATAAATCATATGCAGAGAGCCTTTGAGATGTCTCCCTTGAAAGAAAGGTTGTGAATCTAAAAAATGAATCAATTATCTTAAAACAAATGTTGTGATAATTTGTGATAGCAAAGAAATTGGCCTTATAGGCTTTCGGACAGACAGTCATGACTTAAGATGGTTTTTGTTGTTGTTGTTGTTGTTGTTTCGTTTTGTTTCTGAGTTTTTTCTTTTTTCTTTTTTCTTTTTTTTTTTTTTGAGACAGAGTCTCCCTCTGTCCCCTAGACTGGAGTGCAGTGGCATGATCTCATCTTACTGCAACCTCTACCTCCCGAGTGCAAGCAATTCTCCTGCCTCAGCCTCCCAAATAGCCTCCATAGATACAGAAGTGAATTGACAGGCCCAGCTAATTTTTGTATTTTTAGTGGAGACGGGGTTTCACCATGTTGGCCAGGCAGGTCTCGAACTCCTGACCTCAATTGATCCACCCATGTAGGCCCCCCAAAATGCTGGGATTACAGGTGTGAGCCACCGTGCCCAGCCAAAATGTTAACTCTTTTAATTGCTAGGTGAGGGATAGTAAGTGGATAAGTGCTTTCTCATCTCATCTCCGAGTTTCAATTCCTCATCACTCAAAAGATTTTATTATATATTTTTATTTTGTTTTAAGCCACTACGTTTGTGGTAATTTGTTACACATCAATAGAAAACTGATACAGTCATATTCCTTAGTGGCCTCATCATCAACCTAAACATGCACCACATAGGAATAACAGCATCTTCCTCATAAGGCTGCTATAGGGATACCATTAGTTTAATTTTGTAAAGGCCTTTGAACAGTCTGTGGAACATATATGAGTGTTTTCAGGTTGTCGAAAGATGTTTAAACAATATTCATGTCCCCAGAAAAAATGTTAGTTTCCCTCCCTTCTTTGTTCGTGAGCTTGTTTCTAGTCGCACAGCAAAATCAAAGTAAAACGGGAAGCTCATGAAGGACTATGTTAGCTTGAGGTCTCTTTTTCATCTCTGAATTTGGTGTAGGCCAATGAATTAAAGGAGGAGAAAAAGATGTGTTTCAGTCCAAGCAGACATACAGTACGTGAGAAAAAAAAACCAGTTATTTAAAAACACTCAAATTTGTAAATGATGTCTTAGCCCATTCATACTGCTATAATAAAATGCCATAAACTGGGTGGTTTATAAACAAGATAAATTTATTTCTTACATTTCTGGAGGCTGGAAGTTCAAGATCAGGGTGCCAGCAAGGTCAGGTCATCTGCTCTTTCATCCTCATGTGGTAGAACGTGGAAGAGGGAGCTCTGTTGAGTCTATTTTACAAGAGCACTCATCCCATTCATGAGGGCTCCACACTCAGAAGGCCTCACTATCTAATATGGTCGCTTTATAGGTTGGGCTTTCAGTGTATGAATTTTGTGGGGAATGCAAACATTCAGCCCACTGCAAAGTCAATATACATTTATTTTAATTTTCATGGTGGTTCAAAAAGATAGTTTTCCTGGCCTAACTCTTAACAGGTAAATAATCTCACAGCGCCTGCTCCTCTGAGCCAGAGGCCAGGCTGAAAAGCATTTCGAATGCATGAGAGCAGTGGCTGGGCTCAGCCTGGCACCAGCACACAGGGGTTGCTGAGAGCCAAGTCCATGAATGTGAAATCCTTCCATGGGGAGGAAACAGGAGCCCTAATGACAGTGCTGACTGGTGGAAAAGGTAAATCCAGTTCAGTCATATCCTCTGAAGCACTCTAATTGTTGGAAAGGGCCTTAGAGAATTCAAACCTGTCTTAGAGCACATCTTTCACCTGCGTGGAGGAGAAATGCCATCAGCTGAAAGTGCACAAGAATGCTCTCTGTGAAAGGGCAGACATGGCAGCTCTCACTTTCCTGACACTTTGGTTTGGAGACTGTGACATCTTGTCCCTCTCTCCCAGGACTCTTCGTTGTATGTGAAGCTCTTATTTAAGAAATACAGGCTTTACTTCTATAAAGTATTTAGAATAGTCAATGTCATAGGGACAGAAAGTAGAACAATGGTTGCCAGGGATGGCGGGAGGTGCAAGGGGTGGTAACAAAAAGGAAATGAAGAGTCACTATTTGATGAGTACTGAGGTTCAATTACATCTTTCCAAGCAATTTGGAAAGATACAAAGAGTTCTGAAGATGGACGGTGGTAATGGTTGCACAACAATGTAAGTGTACTTTATATCACTCAACTTGACTTCCTGCTAGCAAGGATTAAAATAAAAAATTTTAAGAAACCACTGAACTATATACAAAAGAAGTGCAAAGATGGCACATTTTGTTATGTGTACTTTACCACAATTTTTAAAAATTGGGGAAAAAAATAAATGCTGGCTTTATGAAGAGAATTAGAATGAGTCAAATATCTTCATGAATGTACAATCATAATAAATTAAATAATAGAATATTACCATTTTTGTGGACCTATTGTGTACAGTTCTTTATATATGTTACCTCTTATTGTCATAATAAAACCATGAGGGGCAATATTTTTCTCATTTCGTAGGTAAGAATATCTAGCCTAAGAAAATTAAGTTGTTAAAATTAATACATAGTCAGATGTCACAAACACTTGAAATCAACATCTGTTTTGTTCATTATTATCAATGTGGCTTTGGGCAAAGCTCTTACCCTGTTACTAATTTCTCACCTGGAAAACCGGAATTTTTCTGTTTTCAGGAAACAATACCTATTTCCCAGAATCATACTGCTGGTCAGTGGAACTAGTAAATATCTAGCACATTTTGGCTTAAACCAAACCTTGGTCAACCTAGTTGCTCCACAACTAATTCAAGAGATCCATTTCCACTCTAGTGCAACTGCTCTGTCCCAGAATTCTTCTGCTTAATGAAACTACAAAAAACAAAAATCAACAACAAAAAACGTCTTCCAAAAACATAAAGAGATACTAAAGAGAGTTGGTAAAGGCCATTAATATGAAAATGAGGCTTTGTCAGGCCAGCTACACTGAACCAACATTGAAACAGAAGCAGCAAGAGAGTGGGACACAGTAAAGTTAGAGTCATTCCATGCCCACCAGCATTGCTTCCTAATGTGCCTACTCTCAGGACCAATCCTTGGTGAGTGG